GAGAGCAAGGAGTAAAAGCACTGTACCCTAACATTAGGAAAAATATTTACAAGTTTTTAAACTATACTAATATGTGGAAGCTTCTTAATACCAATATTATTTATCTAATCTCACAGCATCAGTATAAGGATATCCCATCCCAGTAAATAGGGATAAAAACCATGCATTTTATACCTCTTCAATAAGTTTTATGTAATCTTCTGTAGAATCAATAAAAAAGAATTTTTAGAATGCTTCTTTTGGTCCTAAAATAATTTGAAATCCCACTTAAACCTGTTGTGAAAAATCTGCAGGCACCTTTGTCAAAGAGACTGTTACATCATCGCTTGTAATTTCATCAATCTCATTTTTAGATAAAAAAGTACTTAAAGTTTAAAGTTGATTTCATCAAAATTATGACTTATCAAGGAAATGAGAGCAAATTCTGTATTCACATTTTTATTCTTGTGCTAAAATTTCGTTTAAGTAAGATCAATAGTATTAAAAGCATTGACTATTTAAAACCTCTAATCATCGATAGCATACCACTTAATTCTAACACAACTTGCCCAACCAGTTAAGCAAACTACAAATAAGTTGAAATCTTAATGGATATATGTATATTTCACTTTATTTAGTGATATTATCGATCCACATTCTAAAATCAGTTTTCACATCAACACTGAGAAGATCTAAGACAAGAAAAACTTAAGGAACATTATCAAAAGGAGAATTAAACGCTATAGTAAACGTATATTGAATTTGGTTTTTGCAATCAAAATTGGCATTTTGTTACTAGCATGTTTCTTAGCATAACCCTTGATCAAATATTATGCCACTGATTTATGGTATAATTAATAATAAGAGTTTTAGAGTTTTGGGTATCATTATTGATTCTAAATAATATTAATTAAATCCATATCTTAAATATTAGACAGAAGTATTCAAAATTAACAAAAATAATTTTTAATAAAAAATGAGAAAAAAGTATTTATATCAAATTAAATATTTTGAAGCACTATAAACAGAAAATTAAATTAAAAACAAATATGAGAAGAAAATAGAAGTTAAAACGAATTTCTTGTTGATGTTTAACCTCTTGAACTAATAATTATATAATTTATTATATACACTAAGGTGAAAATTTGTATAATGATTGTAATTTTAGAAATTTCTTACAGTATAGGAAATCAATTTATATACGAGATTCAATTTTTTTATATTTGAATTGATTAACTTAACTCAACTTAATGATTCCTATAAAATATAGTAATCTTATTTTCTGGTAACTATTAACTCTTTAGATTAAATACATTTTAAGTTAGTTATTAGGTTATAATGCTTAAAATAAATGAAATTTTTGTATGATAATTATATTTTTGAAATTGATAAAATAAAATTCATTTCAAACAACTTCTTCCAAATCTAAAGTCTTCAAAATTTGATTAGCCTAATCAGAAATTTCATCTGTAACATAATTTTACATTATTTTAACTTTGTCAATAATTTTTGAATCTTCCATCAATTACTTATATACCTAAAATTTTGCATTAATTTAGACTTAATATGATTGAATTTTTATTTTTTTTTTGAAAATTCCAAAATTCCTTCTAGAATTATTCTTCTTATTGCTTCATCTTCCGTGTCTAGCATGGTTGATATTTTTTAAAAGCAATCATATTATGTTAAAAATTGGTCTATAATTTTTAAATCTGTATAATTTATTAAATTAGATAGAAAATATGACATTTCTTTGAAGATTTTAGAGTCCCCCTATTAAAATTATCTAAATAGGGCTTTTAAGAGTGAATCATTTTTGAGAATTTAATTCACTTAAGCTAAAGTACCAGCAACAATATTAGAAAAAGACCAACAGACCTTAAATATAAATTTGATTTACTTCTCTTTAAATTACTTCACTGTAATTTTATGATAGTAACATTTCAAACGGTTTTAAGACTCCAGTGTTCAAAACCTTAGCTTTTTACACATCATTTCCTGTTAAAATGTTTCCTATAGTCTTTAAAGCTGGAATTATAAGAGATTCATTTTGTGAATTTAGTAATAAAGTTAATTTTTGAACAACTGCTGGTTTTATTGAAAAATATTATTGACCATCATCATTATTGCTTAAATAATTCAATCCCCAACAAGCATACATTATCTGGGTTTCATCTTCAACTGAAAATAATAGCTCTAAATGAATTTATGTTAATAACTTACTAGGCTATTTTCTCAAATAAATAATATACCTTAATGATAATAGGTTTTTATTTTGAAAACAAATATATTCATTATTCTTTAGAGATTAAGAATACATAATTTAACCGTTCTCGCAGAGGAACTCTGTTTTCTTTTAATAATCCAGATTTATACATTCATTCAAAAAGTATTTATGAGAAGAAAATAGAAGTTAAAACAAATTTCTTGTTGATGTTTAACCTCTTGAACTAATAATTATATAATTTATTATATACACTAAGGTGAACATTTGTATAATGATTGGAATTTTAGAAATTTCTTATAATATAGGAAATCAATTTATATACGAGATTCAATTTTTTTTATATATCAATTGATTAACTTAACTCAACTTAATGATTCCTATAAAATATAGTAATCTTATTTTCTGGTAACTATTAACTCTTTAGATTAAATACATTTTAAGTTAGATATTAGGTTATAATGCTTAAAATAAATTAAATTTTTGTATGATAATTATATTTTTGAAATTGATAAAATAAAATTCATTTCAAACAATTTCTTCCAAATCTAAAGTCTTCAAAATTTGATTAGCCTAATCAGAAATTTCATCTGTAACATAATTTTACATTATTTTAACTATGTCAATAATTTTTGAATCTTCCATCAATTACTTATATACCTAAAATTTTGCATTAATTTAGACTTAATATGATTGAATTTTTATTTTTTTTTTGAAAATTCCAAAATTCCTTCTAGAATTATTCTTCTTATAGTTTCATCCATGTCTAGCACGGTTGATATTTTTAAGAGCAATTATATTATGTTAAAAATTGGTCTATAATTTTTAAATCTGTATAATTTATTAAATTAGATAGAAAATATGATATTTCTTTGAAGATTTTAGAGTCCCCCTATTAAAATTATCTAAATAGGGCTTTTAAGAGTGAATCATTTTTGAGAATTTAGTTCACTTAATCTGAAGTACCAGCAACAATATTAGACAAAGACCAACAAACCTTAAATATAAACTTGATTTTACTTCTCTTTAAATTACTTCACTGTAATTTTATGATAGTAACATTTCAAACGGTTTTAAGACTCCAGTGTTCAAAACCTTAGCT